ACACAGATTTGGGTCACATTTAGAAGGTTGGCATTTTGAGATTTGGTGATGACTGTCTACGGGGGTAAGGGAGGATAAGTTGTTAAGAATGCCTCCTCAGTGTTTTGGACTTTGCAACTGGATGGTGTCATTTACTTAGGGAACATCAGCAGAGGAGTAGTTTTTTTAAGGAGGGAGGGGAGAGGCTCATGAACTCCATTTTGGACACAATGAGTTGAAATATATAAACTCCATGAAGACACAGGCCGGGGCTGTGTGTTTCTTATTCACTGTGTCGTGCACAATGCTTGATACATAGTAGGCATGCCACAAACGTTTGTGAAAGTACATACGTTTATACAATCAGGAGAATTTGGAAACTTTTGTACATGGTATGGTTAATTTTATGTGTCAACTTGGTTGGGCTATGGTCCAGTTGTTTAGTCAAATGCTAGTCTGGATGTTGCCGTGAAGGTATTTTGTAGATGTGATTAACATTTATAGCCAGTTGACTTTAAGTAAAGATTAGCTTTGATAATGTGGGCATAGAAGTCCTGCCTGAGTTTCCCAGCCTTCTGGTCTGCCCTCCATATTTTAGACTTGCTAGCTTTCACAATTATGTAAGCCAATTCCTTAAAATAGGTTTCTCTCTTTCTCTCCCTCTCTCTCTCTCTCCATGTATACATATATACTATTGGTTCTGTTTCTCTGGAGACCCCTGACTGATACACTATGCAATAAGATGGAAAGCAAAGCAATGAGATCAGAAGTCAGTTTTTCAGTCTTTGCTCTGCAAGGTGACCTTGGGCATTTCCATGAACTTTTAAGGCCTATTTATTCTTTTTTTTTTTTTTTTAATATTTCCTTATTTTTGAGACAGCGAGAGAGAGAGCAAGCGAGCACAAGGGGGGAAGGGGCAGAGAGAGAGGGAGACACAGAATCTGAAGCAGGCTCCAGGCTCTGAGGTGTCAGTGTAGAACCTGATGCAGGGCTCGAACCCATGAACCATGAGATTATGACCTGAGACCAAGTTGGACGTTCAACCAACTGAGTTACCCAGGCTCTTTTTTTTTTTTTTTTTTAAGTTTTTATTCATTTATTTTACCAGGGGAAGGAGTAGAGAGAGAGGGAGAGAGAGAGAATCCCAAGCAGGTTCCACACTGTCAGTGCACAGAAAGCCCTACTTATTTTTGTCAGAGACAATAATAACATCTAAATGATGTCATGCGGGGGCGCCTGGGTGGCTCAGTCGGCTGGGCAACCAACTTCACTCAGGTCATGATCTCACAGATTGTGAGTTTGAGCCCCGCATCGGGATCTGTGCTGTCAGCTCAGAGCCTGGAGTCTGCTTGGGATTCTGTGTCTCCCTGTCTCTCTGCCCCACCCCCACTCACGTTCTATCTCTCTCCTTCAAGAGTAAATAAAAACATTTTTTTAAAATGATGTCATGGGTAGGAAGGAGGATTGCAATCTGCAAAATACTATTACATTCTTGGTTTAAGGCTGCTTTCCAGCAAGCTATGGATGTTGCAAGTCTAAACTTCAGACAAAATTGCTTTCAGTATAATCAAGAAAAAACATACTCCCTGAATCATTATGATGACCAATATGTAGTTTTCATATTTGTTCTCCACTTAACCTTGGGCATGTACTCACAACAGCATGTACTCAAAACAGCATGTATTTTATCTTTTACCTCTGACAATAGATTCAATCTCTTTCATAGCAGCTTCACTTTGAGCTTCTGCAAGTTTTTCATTGATTTCCATTATTTCCATGAGGAATTGCTGATCCATTGCATAATCTGTCCCTTCGGGAATCTCTACTCCATGGAGCTTTAGCTATTGGGACATGAAGCAGAGAAAAGTAAGGTTAGTTGAAGAAACTGTGGCCAGAGTCATAAATCCTACTCACCCTTCAGAACAGAATACCATGCATAAAAAAAAAAAAAAAAAAAA